AAATATATGCCAGAAAAAAATGAACTCAGCACATGCATAGTAATGACAATAGGACAAGGAATTCAGGTAAGCCGCGAATATCAGCTTTCTTTCCGCCTGAAAATCGTCAATTTTGAAACAGCCTCCAATCTATCCTTCCCCTGATTTGAAGCACAAAATCCAAAGATCCCACTAGATAAACTTTCTAAGCGATCTCCCTTGACAAAGTCACAGGGAAAGCAGCTTAGGGGCAAGTCCCGGATCAGATGGCTTAATCGTGTAAAAGACCTGGCACTGTCGCACGTTGGAACCCAACCCACGGATCATATCCGTTTTCGCATAGGATCAGGGCATTTAGTAAATCCTTCTCAAACAGATGTCCCACAACTCTGAATGTTCACCAGACATTGAACATGATTTAATGAATTTCGAAGAGCCACGGAATCGATAAAGTTCATATCGGCATGATCTATATGACCGTAATGGCAAATCTAATTGATTGTGTATGCCAAATGGAAAAGTGCTAAGTACGCAATGAACATTTTGAATTTAAGTAGCTATGCATGTAAATTGACCACTGAGTTAATGGTGAGCAGGAAAAGACAAAGCAATGTGCCACGAAATAAGAGACAAGTATCAGAGGCAAAAACCGGTTTTTTTAGTGAGACTTTTTTGAGGGATATGTTTTACTGTATAAGTAATATCTAAATGATTAATCAGGTAGAAATGTTAGGTAATTAACGAAATAAGCGATCTTTTGGGACATCACATTCGTTACCCGATTGTGATGTCCATTACCCTAAATTCATCAGTTCATTTTCAACCTTCACACTTGTGGCATGTGTCTGATTAATCAGCACTCTCATGCAGTCATACAGGCTTGTGGTCTAATGAAAGCAAGCCCGTATATGGAATAATACAGATAAACGTCAAAGTTGTTAAGGTTGAAATCTACTCCTTGAACAAAATCATTAGTAGTGTTTATAAGTATACGTAAAAGAAAGAAATGTTAATAAATTTAATTAATTAATTGATTAGAAACGAATTAGAACTAGGCGAAGTCGAGGGACCAAAGACCCCAGGGGACGATTATAAACGATTTTAAGCCAGCGCCTCGGTAGACTCTGCTCCATGCTCACATTTTCTTCCGCTGAGGCTCAAACGATGGCACAGGATGAGGAACATTGGAGACATTGTCTGACGCGGCTGCCTCCGCTACCCGAAAGGGTCATAACACTCAACGCCACTGACTGCTGACAATTTACAGTAAAAATAATTGAAGTAAATCCATGAACCAAGCATCAATAGCTAGCCCATTAGACAACGGTCATGCAACGTGTGAAACAACCAAAGTGTCATTTGCATTTGAATCGCTGCAA